GGTTATATAGGGATTATAGGTATATGGGTATTGGTTTAATACGGGGCCCTGCATAAATGTCCCCCATTTTGGGAAAAGTAATTTAGGGAAACTACCTTATGGATCTAGGGTTTAGGGCTTAGGGGCTAGTTTTCTCAATGATGCCGCAACGGATCTGGGAGGAAACTCAAGAGCTTCATAGAGAACGAGGTGGACGTGCTGCATCAGTACAACAAGGATGAAGCATGTGTTCCATTATGCAATCGGTAGGAAATGAACAGGGGGACCCCAAGATTAACCCAAAAATGTTATAGTCCTTCTCATTTGGACACCCAAAATGGTATCCCTAATCTTAGGAAACCCTAAACTCTACAGCCCCCTATAAAACCCCGACATCTCCCTTGAATGGTACCCCTAATTTTAGGAAACCCTAAACGCTATAGCCCCCTATAACACCCCGTTAAAGGTACCCCTCTAGAAAACCCCAAGTCAATCCATGACTTGCGCATGTGTTGGAAGCGTTTGAGCTAGTTTTTGTCAAGGGTTATTGGGATAATGGAAAATAAAATGGACACTACCATTTAGTGTTTAGGGTTTAGGCTTGACTTGTCTACAATCTTGGAGTTGCGTTGCTCACCTGAGCTATAGTCTATATAAACTCCTTAAAGGAGGGTTGTACAGGGGAATATGTTGGAGACTAGGGCGTATGAAGGGGGATACGAGGAGTTTAGATTATGGATCACTTTACGATGGCTGGCACTTCAGCTGCTCGAAGATCTTGCTTGCAAATTCGGAAGCGTCTTTATCCGCACTTGCAGGTATACTCCACCATGTCAGTCTTGCGCAGTGCTTTTTCCAGCAATTGTAAACATCATGATGCCTACATCTCGCAGCGTACAAGCCCAGACCATGCTCCGCGATAGGAGCTGGAAGACTACTGCAAGTGGCGTCGGGGAGCTTTGCTCGAAGCACCTCTGTCCGGCGCCTGTCGCTTGCTTGTTCTTGGTACATGCGGGTGAAGCAATGGCTTTAGACTGAAACTTATGGGATGGGGAAGGTTCTAAAGAGCAAGTCTCTTTTTCAGTTTTTCCGGAGCAGCCAGTCCACTTGCTTGCTGAAAAGGATGGCTTGATCCTAGCCTCAAAACAACATTGGCAACAGTAGAGCGGACAACACAAATCACGCGCCGGTGGCGGAGACATTGACTTTGGGTCTGCACAAATGTCACGGAACACAACCTGCACAACACACAGTCTAAATGGTAGTTCCCCAAAATAGGGGGACCCCAATATAGACCCCGACATACTATAGCCCTTAGGTATCTAGAATTTGGGGAAACTCCCAAATCTCTTCTGCATGTAAGCTGTGTACGATCCACTTGCCTCAATGGTACGCACTTTGCTTGCTTCGTCCGACATATTGGGGACAACCATGCGCACAGTCTGTCAGGAATGTAGATATCCCAAACGCTTTAAAACGGCAAGCCGTATTTAGCACGATAAAGTATGTTTTTAGTAAGTACTGTATGCTGCCAGTCGCTCTCCAATTTGGTGAGTGTAATAGTAGTAATAGTAATAATAGTAATAATAGTAATAATAGTAGTAATAGTAGTAATAATAGTAATAATTAATAGTAGTAATAGTAATAATAGGAATAATAGTAATAGTAGTAATAATAGTAATAATAGTGATAATAGTAATAATCGTATTAATTTTA